AGGCATTGGAAATGAAGAATATGGCGGCATAAGTTCTTTTGTAAGAACTTACTGATTTGGTTCTTTTTTCTGTTATGATTTTTGTTAATCTATTGTGTGTGTTAAGTAAGAAAACAAATAAAAAGCATATTTTTTAAAAAAGTTAATGTATGTGTTGTGTGAAAGAACATAAGAAGAGACTGGCTGTAGCTGGATCAGGCCAAAGGGGGCCTATCTAGTCCAGCATCCTGCTCTTTCAATGCCCAATCAGATGCCTCTTCTGGAAAGCCCACAAGCTGGATGAGAGCAGAATAGCGCTCTCCCCACTTCTGATTCCCAGCAACTGGTATTCCAAGGAATACTTCCTCTTGTAGTGAAGATAGAACATGGCCATCATGGCTAGTAGCCATCAACAGCCTTGTCCTCCATGAATTTGTCTAATCCCCTTTTGAAGCCTTCCCTGTTGCTGGCCATCTCTGGCTCTTGCAGGAGCAAGTTCCATAGACTGCACCTGAACACATTGTAACTAAGTACTTTTGTCTGTCCTGAATCTTCAGATTCATTGAATGAACCCAGTAGGTTCTAGTATTATGTCTACAAATTCTAGTAGAATGAAAGAGAGGAGAGAAAAAAACCCTTTTCTTTTTCCCAAAATGTTCAGTTTTATACCTGCTTTCCTACACCCCCCTCATTTCCTCCTCTTTAGGTAAAATTATCCAAACAGTTTAGCTTTTCATTGTGGACTGCAGGCCAAACTTCAAAGACTCTCTCCAAGAGAAAAGGGGTTATTGATGGCTTCCAAAAGCCCTTGATGTTATGGATATGTGGAAATCCTAAATTCTAGTGTTAACCCTGTATGTATGTATGTATGTATGTATGCATGCATGAATTATTATAATGTGAAGCAACTAAAATTGCTAGGCATTCTACAAAAATTTAAAGCAAAGGCTCTGCCTGCAGGCTTACAAATGAAAGCATACCATGATGGTAGAAAGGTCTTCTCTGAGGTCAGTTCACACTTTAGTAGTGGAATGCTTTGTGCACAGTAATAGTTAGCTTGTGTATCTTAGCAGGTCATGGATCTGTCCCACCACTTTCTCAATTGTGCACTAGGGCAATATGTTCTTATAATATGAATCTGATGGTGTGCTAGTGCCTCTCATAAAAAAAGCATTGAGATGAAAACCAATGCTACTTTCTTGATCAGCAAATGTAAAATTTGCCACATGTCTGATCTCCAAGTTATTGGCTTACAATTTAACATTGCCTATGCAGGTGGATTGCTGCCGTGAGTAAAGAAAATAGCCAAGTTGGGCCTTCACTTTAGTTGGATGCCTCTAATTTGCATGTTTTAGCATTTGCACATCCCTTCTGTGAACATGGTTAATGATAAAACTAGTTGGCTGGGCTACTGAGTGTTTCACTGAAACAATTGCCCCACAAGTAGGGATTGGAACTTGGGCCTCTCCAGTCTCAGTCTGATGCTGTAACTGCTAAAAATCCATAGGATGGATGTTCTGATCCTGGAGGGACCCTAAACCCAAGGGAAACAAGCCAAGGTAAAGCGCTGGGACTAGGGCTTCCCAGAGGAGACTGATCGCAGCAGAGGCCCAAGGGAGACTGAGAGATGCCCCTTCTTGCTAGGTTATAAGGTACACCTGGTCCCTATCAGGCTTTTCCTTCCTCCTAAGTAGACTCCTGTGGATGACGTCTCCTGGCAACTAGGGTCGCATCTACATTTAGAGCACTGTTATGACACTTTAACAGCCATGAAATTTGTTTGTTAAGGGCATTGAGAATTGTAGCTCTGTGAGGTCAGTACCCTTAATAAAGTACAGTTCCCATAATTCTTTGGGGGGGGGAGCTATGATTGTTAAAGTGGTATAAGAGTGCTTTAAATGTATGGTGTATCGGTGTGGATATGACCCAAATGTGAATTTCCTGCCTTTGGCTCTGGATTTCCCACATGACATGAAGAGGTCTAGTTGGGTTGCGGCATGGAGGGGTTTACGTTGAGGACTGGCAAGATGCCTCAGGGTAGCTGGGTACTACCCAGCTACTGGGTAGCTCAGTGGGGGCTCAGTGGGCTATTCAGAACTGCCACTGGGGGCAAGGACTTTATGCTGGGTCCCAGAACTCCTCCTTGGATGAGTGCCTACTGAATACTTTTGTATTCTAGCACTGCTCCGAGATCACTCCCTATAATCAAGTTCATGCACTCATTGGTAGGCACTGTGCATTAATTACTATCTCATTTCTTAGAATGAGATAGTCCTTTGTTTGGCCTCCAGAATATATGCCTTTGTTTCTGTTACGCACCATTAATTGGTTGCCCAGTGACAATATAGCTACTATATGCATTAAATAAATGACTTGAAGTAAATGTGTTTATTGGGAAATGAACAACCCAGAAGATCTGTTGTGCCTTTGACTGAGCGTAGGATGGGAGAAATTGGGACTGATTCTTTCCAACAGAAGCAAGTCTCACAAAAGTTAGTGACCATAGTTCAAGTGGCCCTTGTTTCCCAGGGAGGGTTGCAGAATTGCCCCCGCTTATGTGGACCTGTTTCAACTTGCATGAACCTTTCTGATGTTGTGCTCCTCAGTTGTCCATAAACTAGTGACCCCTTATGTAGCAAGTCCCTGGTCTCACTTGAGTGTCCAGCTAAAGCTGCCTTTGTCAGGTGCTTTGGGACTGAGTGGCTCTATGGGCTTCTTGGTATTCTGCCTTTATCCAAGACCAGCCCATTGAAGCTACTCTGGGGTCATTTCTGGAGTGCTTCTGCCTTGGGGTTCCCAGTAGAAGCTTATCTCAGAACAAGCTGTGTGGGCAAGGAATTGGGGGTGTTAGCTGGTTTCTAGATCTAGTTGGCAAAGTGTTCCTTTAGTGAGCAGTGGACACAAATAGGCAGAGCAAGAGAGCACTACCAAGATTTGATTCACACTACCTTTTCATCTCCTGGCTGAACCTCCAGATTTCTAAAGACACAAAGTTGTTCTGATAAAAAGTAATTAATCCATGCAACTTGCTTATTGCCAGATGGTATATAGACAGGAGGTTTGTATGATTCTGACAAGGGTGTTTGTGTGATAGGTAGAAGACAGGGTGTAAAACCTTATGAGCTGAAGTGATGAAAATCTTATGCTGAGGTTTAATGTATGCAAGTGTTGAAGCCAACCCCAGAGCTGAGTCAGGATATCCCAGAGATGAAGCCTTCCTAGTCATGTCTTTTTTAATATATTTTTATTTATTTATTTATTTATTTATTTATTTATTATTTCCTTTTGGATGTATACTAAATGCAAGGATATGCAAGATCAGCAACTTGTATTTTTAAATAAAAAAAATAGAGTAAATGTGAAGGCATAATACTGTTTCAATAATGAAATACTTAAAAAAAAATAACACCTCATACTCACTCATATTATTCCTGTTGTGTTTTTTAGTCTGCAATCCTTTTCTTTAAAAATATCCTAGGAAGGAAATTCCACAACCTTTCTAAGTTCTGCATAATTTTTTCCTAATACTTAATTTTTTTGGTAGATGTTGATATCTATCCAAGCTGCCTAGTTTTAACAGAAACCCAAGCTGGTCTGTTTACAGCCTTCCCCTTCTGCATATCCATCTCTTGTGGAATGGATACTGTTGTTGTCTTCTGGTTTACTCATTAGATATTATTAGGTTTATTTATTGAAAGAATTTTTAACCAGAATGTGGTCTGAATTATTGGCTGATGATGATCAGTCTACTACTTCATGAGGTTTTCAAATCCTGGTTAAAGGACAACTCAGTTACTGTTGTTGCTGCTGCTTTAAGGTTCAAGTACAGTTAAGACTAGAGAGGGGGATTTGTTCTACGGATTGGAGGAAGTCCCTGAACCTGCTGCATGCTCACTGTCTTTTGATTACAACTACTTTATCATTATGACTCCGGCCTTCATCAGCCCCTGGACAGTCCTTTCAGATCTTGATGTTCATTGCAATGGTGTGTGCAGCAATGATGTGGCACAGAAAAGCTTTTGGAAGGAAAATCTTTTCACTACTAGAAAATTATCTGCTTTAAAAATGTTTCATTGAATTGACTGATAACAAAATGAATGAATGCAATACAGATCAAGTGGGGGCTGGAATGGATACAATGCCAATCATATCTAAAGCAAAATCTTAATTAACTTTTTCCAGGTGACTTTCACTAGAAAGCACAAATATTTATGCACACAGGTATAACAAAAATGTGTTAACAGTTTTCAGAGCTTAGTCCCCCTGCCCTTTAAAATCTAAAGTCAGGGAAGTGTGTTTCTATTGAGTTTCTTATGTTTTAAAACACTTTAAAGCATTAATAAAATAACAATAACATTTAAACCATACTTTGTGAACCTTATTGATTCCCCCAGCCCCCACCAGTCAAATATTTAAGTTTGATTACTTTTGGCTATCGGAATCTTTTTAAAAGATAGCTCGGCAGCATTTAAAATTAACATGATATGCTGTAGTTTTTGTTTACTAAATGTGGGGCAAAAAAACATGTGAAGCAGGAAACATCCCCCCCCTCAAATTCCAGTTCAAATTGTCCTGGTGCTGGAATGGGTGTTGTGTGGGGGAAAGAGGATTTCCCATGTCTGGATCTCTCTTCTAGCTAGGCTACATGCTTGTTGAAAGCTTGCACCCGAGGCCAGAGGAGAATAACGCTAGCAGGTCATTCAACCTCTTTCTGAAAGAAGCAAGGCAGGAGAGCCCAACTGGACTCCACATAGCAGCCTACCAAAGAGGTGGCATGAGAAGAGTACAAGTATCCTTATACAATATTTCTGACTACAGTAATACAGTCCTCGGTTTGTCCTGTCTTATAACACCCACACTCTGAACAAAACAATGAGGTAGAAGGAAACTGGGAGGCATCCAAACTAGAAATTGTAATGAATGGCCCTTTATCTACCCTCACAGTGACCAGCTAAATGTAAATTTAGGCCATGACAATGTGTCAAAATTTCTAGACATGATAAATGATTGTGTCTTAACAGTTAGCCATGGAACCGACAAGAGGAGAGGCGACTCTTGATTTAATCCTATATGATGCCCTGGATCTGGTGCAAGATGTAAGTGTTGTTGAACTGTTTGGAAACGCTGACTACAATGCTAACAGATTCTACATGCATACATGCATACTGTCCAAAATGTGTTAACATAATAAATTGATTTTCAGAGGAGGAGATAGATAGATATGGCTGGAAAAAAGCAAAAAAGGAGAGATAGCATAGAGGTTTTAAAAAATCGTATTATAGTAGAGGCTCCAATAAATTGTATATTGTAAATTAGAATGAGCACAAACCAGTCCAAAACTCAATGTCATTAAATAAGAGTAAAGGTGGCTGTAAGAGGCAAGAGATATCCCTTTTAAGAAGTAGAAGTCTTGCCCAAATATGGAAAATAAGAACACAAACTCTGCAAATGCAAATATGAATTGTCAATAATGCAAGCAAATAAGGAATTTTGAGGAGCAGTTGCTATAGATATAAAGAAAGTTATAAATAAATCAGAAGTAGGAAAACAACTAGATGAATTTTTAGATGATACACATGTGAAAGGATTGCTATAGGAGGGCTGGAAGGCTGCCAAAAAGATAAATCAACCCTCTACATCTATATTCAGTACAGATGCTGGAGAAACACCTATATTTGGACCATCATTTTAGGAGGAAGAGGAGGCACCTAACCAACAAACAGTAGTTTTGGTAGTAGTATTGGTTAAATACTGGCAAGTCATTAGGGCTGTATTAGTGCTGAGACACAATAGGTGCGCTTTTCACAAGCAAGCCTCCTCCCCCCCCCCGGCTATTGTTGCACCCCTTTGTGTGACTAGGATGTAAAATTGTTTCTGAGGGGGACATAATCTGGAGAAGAGAATGTGTCCTGTTGCCAAGGCTATGGGGTAGGGCTGATCCAGTTATGCTTGGTTGACTAGCTGGGGCGCAACATGGTGTGTGTGTTCATCTGATTGTGCATCCACTTTCTGTTTCTGCTGGTTGTGACCAGAGGCGGGTGGAGACTTGTTTTGCAGTGCTGGTGGGCAACAAAACTGCCAACATAGCTTGGTAAGCCAGCTAGCATTGGCCAGGCTACCTGAGCAAAGAAGATGTGTTTCTTCTGATGCTGCTTGGGGAGGAGAAAGGAGGGAAAGAAATCATGTGCGTAATGGCTGTGAAAACACATGACAAAATACTTGAAAGAGTAGAAGATAAAATGTTTTTTCTACTATTTTCCACACCTCACAACAAATTGGCATGACACACTATCCTTTAACAGACATATGCAGCATCTGCAATATTAACTTGCCAGGGGACTGAAAGATGCTCAGTATTACACCATGAAGATGGGGGGCAGGGAGTCCAGGGGGAAATGCATGAAATTACACATTTCTTGTCCTATCTTCCACTTAATTTAGTGGAAAGCATTATAAAGACCAATAGCCAAATATAGACTTAGGAGTAGCTGCCTAGATGCTAAATTGGTGCGTGTAGGTATCCAGAGCTATAGAAGCATTATCTTTGACAATAAAGAGTTAACTATCTGCTGTGTGCATTCCTTTGACTGGGAATATTAGCACCCCAGTGGTCCAGAACCAGGATCTCTTCTACAGAAGACCTGTGATTTTAATTTAACGTATTTATTAAAACATTTATATTCTGCCTTTCTGTTGGGGATTCTTAGTTATAAAGTTTAAAGCAATATTTTAAAAGTCATATATAACAGAAAGAGGCAGGGAAACACAGAGAAGATTTGTTTCAAGCGCAAAGTTCCCTTGAAAAGCCAGGTTTTAGCTGCTTACCAAAAGACAAGCAATGAGGCTAAATAGATAGGTCTGCTTGGGGAGGATGTTCCACAAGTTAGACACAGCAGTCACTAAAGCCCCACCTCATGGGTACAGTCAAATGATGAATGAGTCTGCTCTTGACAGTTCCTGGTGCATTTGGAGATTCTAGAGATTGAACCAGAGACCACTGGCAGCAAAGCATGTGCTCTACCCTTAAGCTATGGCTCCTAATGATGGGGATGCTGTTAAGGATGAATCATCTGTAGTGGAGAGCAGCAGATTGTTTAGCACTTAAATGGGATCTAGGATATCTAAGGTTGCCCTGAACTGGCACATTATAGGTCTTGCCTCAGTTTTCCCAACTTCCCCAGGATAATGAATTTTGCACACAAAGTTGATGGTATACACGTATTAAATTATATGGTGAGCCTCAGACGTCTTCATGCCAGCAGCTGAGAAACAAGTACTGTTAACTCTGAAGACAGATCTGTGCTCTAGGTGTTATTTCTGTTAACTTCCAAGTGAGTGTGTCCATCTTCCAGAGCTACTACACTAGTTTGTGGAGCTAAAATGTATGCTGAATTTTCACCAACAAAAAGTGTCAAGTTAAGCTTCATCCCCCAATACCTTTCTTTAAAAACTACTTTTATTAATTATTAAATTTCTACCCCATCCTTCCTCCCAAAGGTGGTATGGTAAAGTAGCAAAGCAATATAATTAAAATATTAAGAACATCTAAAAATATTTTAGATGTGCTGTTTGCAGCTTGTTAGAAGCTTCTTGGTTCTATGTCAATTTACAAGCTAAATTGACATAGAACCAAGTTTGGGATCACATAGACAAAAATAGTTTGGGATCACATAGACAAAAATAATGATACAAAGTCATAATGCAACCAATCATATTTGTATTGTCACAGAGCAAAATCAGAGTAAGGGCAGGAAGCATTGCCTTCACTCTAAATGGACTGCCTAGTAATACCACCTAGCCAATCAGGTGACTTCATGAAGCCAAATCAGAGTGAGGGCAATGCTTCCTGCATCTCTTGCTGGATATTTTAGCCTATTTTGCAGGCTTCCAGAAAAATTGAATAACAGTGGTAGGGATGGGAACTTTATAAGAGGCATGTTTTTTCATAAAATGTGTACTCCCCATCAGTTCAGCCTTGCTCATAAATCATTGCTCATGATCATTTAGGTGAACCAACCTGCTGTAAGGATTTGTAACTTCTGAGAAGACAGTCACATTTTTATGCTTAGGAATTGAGGAGACTTATCCCAACATTTGTTTTCCTGCCTTCTCTCATTGTGGCCAAAGAGCTGTGGAAGCCCTCACCAAAGAAATGGTCAGGTTCAAGGTACCTTCTGCATACATTCTTTGCCCCCTTCTAGCGTGTTCATAGTTCCATACCATTATTCTGCAAGGAGGCTGGCATGTGCACACCTGAAAGGGATGGTTTCTGCTTCTAGGCCTCTTGATCTTGTTGCTGCTGCTGGCTTCTGGCCTTTCCACTGTGCAGCCTAAGGGCCCCGCAGCCCAACAGTCTTCTGTCTTTCGGAATGGCTGTAGTGAGTGATTAATTAGGATTCTGTGGCCTGCTGTGCAATTGGGGAAGACTCTACTGCTGCGTGTCCACCTGTCCCTGGGGAGGAGGCCGTGTTGCTCTCTGAAACCTGCATGCAGAGCAGCCTCGTTAAGGACTGATCTGTTTAGCTGGCTTGTGCTGCAGCCGGGCTCTTGCCTCCCTCTGGACTTTAGCCCCTCCTCATTAAGCCAGTTGGGGCTATTGATTGGGCGTTTGTGTTTGGAAGAGTCTTACTTACTCCATGCATTATCTTGACAGATTGATCAGACCTGATTGAGAACCTCTTAAAGGAACGAACAGCTGTAATGGGAAAGTTGGACTCTGTCATCCGTTAGGGTGATTCTGGGAGCGAGAGGAACAAGGCTGACATCTTGGAGCAATTGTATTTACAATTAACATGGCTGAAAACGATTGCCTCTATTGATCCCCCCTTCCTGCAATTACAGCCCCATTGTTTACATTCCAGCACTTCAGTTATAAAAAGGAAATTCAATAATTATTGCATTATTTAAAGTTAAAGTGCCACAGAGTTTGCTGGCTGTGCTTGCTGGTTGATTTAACGTTCAGTAAAATCTATGCTGAGCTCTCCATCTTTAGGCTGAGCAATATTGGCTTTTAATGAGGCTTCAAGGGTGGAGCAAAAATCCACCTGCCGGCCATGTGTTTCTGTTGTTTATGGGGGATCCTGACAGAGACTCCATTGCATGTAGGTGTTGGTAGAGGAACAAACCTTGGGCCGGCCAGCCATTTCTGTATTGGAATGGATGGGGGAAAGCAAAGGGGTGAGCAATCTGAAATACTGCCCTAAAATAGATTTGCCTTTTGGTTCTGTGGAAGGGGCAGAAGAAGGGTTTAGAAGTCCCAGCAACAGCAGCACTTTTGCTTGCTTCTGCCACTCTTAGCACAGGCTTCACAGAGCAGTTGTCCATGGGGAGATGGTTGACTACTGCTTGCTGCAGTGACAGTTGCAATTTCTAATCTGCCCTGAGATATAAAAGGGAGTTTAACTATTTATAAAACGCAGAAGCCTTCTGTAACAGTGATGTGAACAAGCCATGTATGACTATGTCAGCTAGGATCCGTGCAGTGTTGGGGTAGAAGAAGCATAAAAGTGAGTTCATTTTTAAGTCCTGATTTTATGTGTCTTAACTGTTCAGTTAATCAATAGTTTCTGGCACTTGCTGCGGAGACCTCTGTTCCCTTTCTCTAAAACTGCTTTGCATGAATTATGCTTAGTTCCCTGAGCCACCTTTTTGTTGACTTTTAATGTATACCTTAATGATGGAGAAACCACAGAGGCCTGAGAGTAGCCACATTTGGGAAAAGCTGAGGGCACCATGTGAAAATTTTCTTGGCCCAGAAGAGCGGAGATGTCCTGCAATGTACAGGGGCATGTCTGACTCTACTGCATGCAAAGTTGAAGATGCAACTCCCCCTTGAAACAACTGTGTGTAGCCTACCTTCACTTGTCTCTAGGCAGTTGTCCTAAAATTTTGGCAACATGAAGGTATCTGGGCCCAATATATGACCTTCACAGAACCTACTGAGTGATTTTACTGCTATAGGTTGAACCCAAAGCTTCTGCCCTCTTTGTCTCCCTTCCTCATGATAAGCTAGAGTTGGGGAGCCTGTGGCCCTCCAGCTTCCGTCATCATTGACCATCCATTGACCATGCTGACTGAGGTTAATGGGAGTTGGTGT